GGGGGGGGGGGGGGGAGAGAGCGGCGAACACGGTGGGATGTCCTCACATGCAAAATGTACCGGCGCAGCTACAGAGCTGGGGCCATGGCACTAGTCTAGAATACATCCTTCTCGTCTTGAGCCTCGAGAAAAAAAGTCCACACATGTGGGCTGTAGACTAGTCGAAGGTGAGAAAGATACGCACAGCAGCAGCAGCAGCACCGCGACAAGCTTCTCCTTCCCACACATCAATTCCGTGTGTGTGCTGCGCAAAAATCATGTGTATCAGCATGCGAAACTGCTCTTGAAGCAACGTGTGTGCATACTGCCGACATGAACAATGATCCCAAACAGTAGCCAGCGTACACGACAGCAATTGCGCGTTCGTGTAGCAGTGGTCCTCTGCGGAGACCACGCGCTGCGGGAACTTGTTTTTTTTTTAGTCTACAGCAGCAGCAGAACTCTGCCTATTTTCACGTCGTGCACAGCTGCAGCTCAAATGTAGAAACAAGCTCACAATCCGTCACACAGCAGCTACTGCCGACACCACACCACTACCCTGTGTTGCTCACCTGACTCGTCCGTGTTCCAGACATGGTCGGCCGCCGGCTGGTGCTCGTCGAGGAACTAGCCCCAGAAGTCGTAGAACTTGTGCAGACGTTCATCTTCCGCGGAGGTCACCCTCTTGGACTCGTAGATGCGGGCGAGTCGAAGGCTGATGCGCTCGTGCCGTCCGAGGAAGCCCTCAAGCCAGCTCCTCCCGGCCCTTGTCAGGGGTCCATGGGATCGGTCGACCGTCGTTACAGAGCTGTCTCATACGCTCCGTGAGGTCTGCGGTGGTGAGCGGAACATGGTTCCGACCAGCGTACAGCAGAACATCTTCAAGCGCATCCTCCTCTGCTGCGGTCATGACAGTCCCGGGGCCCACCCGGGCGTCCATGGCACGCTCACCGCTCAGCCGCCGCGAGAGCGACGTCTTGTTGACCCCGTAGGCANCGGCCCTTGTCAGGGGTCCATGGGATCGGTCGACCGTCGTTACAGAGCTGTCTCATACGCTCCGTGAGGTCTGCGGTGGTGAGCGGAACATGGTTCCGACCAGCGTACAGCAGAACATCTTCAAGCGCATCCTCCTCTGCTGCGGTCATGACAGTCCCGGGGCCCACCCGGGCGTCCATGGCACGCTCACCGCTCAGCCGCCGCGAGAGCGACGTCTTGTTGACCCCGTAGGCAGCAGCAGCAGGGTTACGTGACGTGCTACCGCTGCGGACCGCTTCACAGGCCTTCGCAGCAGCCTCCGCGCTCACTCTACACCGACCCATGCTCAGCAGCAGGGGGCCAACGAGGGCGAAGATGCGCCGCATCGAGACTGCTGGTGGGCGCGTTGCTGTAGCTCGGGGCTGCGTGCGCCGATCTGCACGCTGAAGTGCTCAAACGAAAGCTAACGGAAAGCAAAACAAGGGGGAGGGCGGCGAATGGTGCGTCTGGTATGCCCGTTTGAAAAAAGTGGTCCTTGATGGGGTGGCTGGCACATTTACTCTACGCGGTTATTTCTTTGTCGGGTGGATGGAGGGTGTCAGTTGAGTTCCTCGCTCTTGTAGGAACGTAGGTGAATATGTAACTTGGAATGAAAGAGGAGTGGAAGCAGAGTTCGACAAAGCTGTGCCTACCTTGGATCAAATAGAGTGCCATCCTCACAGCAATTTCTTCAACAGTACGGACGGTGTTGGATCATTACTCATCGCAAATCGAACGTCGACGCGTTCCATATAGACTACTACGTAATCTTATCGCTAAGCATGTTTTAAAAAGCCGGGGGCAACACAACTCGGTAATAACCCGACCCCCGCTCTCTTTCGTGGCGGCTGCGTATAAGGTAGGCAGGGATACAGGCGTCCAGTGACACCAACATGTGTACTCTGTAGGTAGCCCTTTGTCCGATGATGGCCGCGTATTCTCATGAGAGGAGTGCTGGCCAGAAGGAGTGCTGCACAGTAGTACAACAGCAACGAAAATCGCACAGCGGTTACAAATCAGGGTTAGACTCACGATTCTCGAGGGCCACAACCCTCACGAATGTATGCCAAAGATTCTGCTCGAGCATCCGTATGATCTCGCTGCCCGGCTCCTTGAAAACATGGGCTCCTCTCTCGTCTTGGTGGTGCTCGAAGGCCGCCCTAAAGGTTGAGGACGACTTCAGAAATATCCGTTGAAGACACTCGCGGTTTTGGGACACAGAGTTGACGCGAGGCACATCACGTGCCTCATCGCGACGAATGGCTCCCAGGGCAAGTATCCAACCTCGCCGAACCGCGGTGACTTTTCGACATTCGCTCAGTAGACACCACCATCTCGGCTAATGGTACATGCACGCGAAGGTGGCCAAAGCAGGGTGTTGTACTTCACGACTACCGTATTAGGTGTGGCTTTAACGTTAAGAAGTACGGGTCCCTTCTTCAGTACTTCCTCTTGCATCCTTTTCAAAAACAAAATACATTTTCTACTGTGAAACATTTGTGCTATGCAGAAAGAGGGATGCGATAACCGTCAAGAGGGGAGAAAGTTTGGCCAAGCCAAGAAATTGCAGTTGCAACAAGAGAAGGAAGTACACGTCAAGGGAGGTCAAAAAGCAAAAAGCAGGGTAGAGCGAACGAAAGGCTCCCAACGAATGAACGAAGCCCCTATTGTGCGTCTTGAACGGTGGAGGCTTGCATCCCTCACCTTGTTCTCAAAGAGCTCATGCGCTGCCTTGTGGCGCTAGAGATGTTGATCTCGTCGTGAGATGTAGACAGCAAGTACTTGTGCACGATTTGAACGAAGACCTCGAACTGCTCGTCTGGGTCATTGGAGCCCTAACGCGCGACGAAAAAAATTGGAACACATCAAAGGACCACTAAATACACATTCTTGGTAGGGGGGTCATCGTAGGCATACGCATAGGCGAAAGTGGGACTTTTGCGAGACAACGAAACAGAGAAGGACGAGCTCTCGCCATCTCGTAGCGGAGAACGTCGACAACAAAGTCCCAGCTTTCCATGCACAGGTTTGTACGGCACGCGGCTTGAAATCGCTTGCCCATCTCTCCGCCCGCACGTGCGAGCGCCAACACCCCTTCCACGCCCGTCAATGCCTCGGCATCGGCGATATCGTCAACGGGAATGACGGGGGCCTGGAAGCATCCGCGAATCCCACCACGGTGCACTCTCGCCATAGGTATAAACAGTCAATGTCTTAGAAGCGGCGTTCGAGAGAATACGTACCGAGCAAACGTGTCGGGGATAAGGGACAGCTGAGAGTGCGTGTCGCTGCTTCCAGTGCAATCTCCATGAGAGAAGGACTAGCAACGGCACCATTTCGTCGACACCTTCGAAACTGGCTTGAAGTGCCTTATCACGTTACATTATTGATACTATCAACACGTATGCGACGGACTATGAGTCGCTCATGGACCGCTATGGGCCGCCCATTGACCGTCATGAAGCGCCCGTGGGACGTACTTGCTGGACACCTATGGGCTGCCCACGGTACCCGTGGGTCGACGAAGGGGCACACCTAGCCTGCGAAGTCCATGGACCGTCCGTTGGACATCGCAGAAACGTAACGACGGTAAGTGCGCTTTCATACATACGACAAACCAGGACAACCGATGGGCGATCCATTGGCGGTTCGTGAACTCCCTTGTGGCGGCCTATGGGTGGTCCATGGGCGGCCCTGGGACGACCAACAGGTCTTAGCAGTCGGACGGCCTATGGACATGACCCATGGGCCGCCCACGCGCGGTCATTAGCGCTTTTTTACGATCAATGGCGACTCGAGGCAAGCGTTAGGTGGACAAAGGCCTATATACAATAGACCGCCAACGGGTATTTAGTCGGATTGTTTCGACCACGAGGACGGCCTGTGGGTTGGACTCAGGGATCGTTTGATGGGATGGCCCCACCAGCAGTCCATCGACCCGTGGACAGAGGCACCGAATACTGTACATGACCCTCAGCACTTGACGCATCACGAAGATTGGTGCAACACGACGCGTTGGTCCCGTTGGCAAGGTGTCGTGGGCACGAAGGCTGCGTGTTACAATGTGCGAATCAATTTTCAAATCCCTTAAGGAATTCACTCCTGTGGCCGGGTCGTCTTGCATACATTGGCGTCGAACGGACAGCATAAGGCATACCTGTGGTGGAAGACGTAACTCGCGAACATTTATCGATTGCGTTTGTCCGACACGCCACCAGCTCGGAGTGTGACTGCTTAGGACTCTCTCCTAGTAAATGTACGGTTCGTCATGCATGTGTTATTTTTTTCTGATTATTTCTGTGGCGTGTGTTTGAAAACATTCGCAAGGTAGGGTACATGGTACAAAGTCAGCCTGCGCTATGGAAGACGTCCGCATCATTTGGGCCAGTGACTACGGATGTTAGAAGGCACTGAGCAGATATAGGAACGGTTTGCATGGTGAAGACAACAACCATTCACCAGCACTACTCCAGCTAGGAGCCATCGATACAACCCCCCCCTTCCGGTAGCTTCCCCCAAAATCGATGCATGGGTCGGGTAGATGATGAACCTTCCTGCCGCAACACCGAAAATCGTATTGGGTGGGAAGTGATAGTACTTCATAAAAGAGGTTGACATGTGTGTCTCACCCGCACGTTCCGACGACCATCGAACACAAGAGGGCCAGCACTTAGATCACGATGTGGACCAGAGGTGTTTCAGGCAAGACGTTGATGAGCACGAGCACCTGGACACCCAACATAACGTCTGGGGGTTTCGCAACAACGTAGTGTGCGACGAAGGTTGTGAACCCCGTGACCCACGGGATTCTTGTCCACATAGACCTTGTGGCGCGGATTCCTGCTCTATTCAATTGCACGTTGTTTTCAACATCTCCTGCTACCGGCAGATGCTTGGGGAAACCATGATCGAGCGAGCATGAGCGACCAGGGAGTGTTGGAATGGCCACGGAAGAGGAAGTCACGTGTGCACAGCCAACGCTCGAGTATGGAGAATGCTGTGACGGTTGGCCATGCGTTGTCTGAAGTCTATTTCAATAGAAATATTGGGGTTATTTTCCTCGAAGCTCGCAAAAACCTCGTATTGGCAACCAGCAGCAACCACCGGCGGTTGGGTTGGATATACCTGCGACTATGATGCATCCTCCGATTACTCCAAAAATTTCCTCTTTGATCTTGAAAGCATCGTTTACGCGAGAGAGCTTCATCGCAAGGACAAGCACAAGTGGTCCCAAAAGCACCGCGAAAACCCCCGTCAACGACATGTCATCGAAAAAGAAGCAGTCGTGTGAGTTCCTGCAGGTTGAAAACGGTGAAAGTCGCGAATTTGTCAACGCTTAGACTACACGATGTCGTCGTCCAAGGCGTGCGTCGTCGACAACTTTACGAACGAACGGCGTACGCACCAGCTCTAGGCGTCATGCCCTTTTATGTCAACGTTTCAGGACCAAATCCCCCCGCGAACACTCCCGACGTTTGCTAAAGCGTACGGGACGAGTGGCGGGCCGAGTGGATACATACGAACCTATCGTTCTTAGACCTCAAACTACACTCTGCATCGTTTTCACGTACACCCCATGATGCGCTAGTATAAAATAACAATGTCCACCTCCTGTTTTTCTCGACTACCACCGGGTCACTTCATGTTAGAGCCCTGAACTCGAGATCTAGATACTCCCTTCGATGTATAGGCATGGAACTGTTGTGCATCAGGTATCAGACTTGAAAAGAAGGCCCCCGGAAGATTATGAGGTAGTAAGACATGGATGCATATTTGCAAATGAGGTTCGGCATGAATGCATATCTGCAGACAATACATACAACTTAGAAAATGACGATATGGTAGTATGTTGAACAATGATATACCCTTTAGTGCATTGGATTGACCTGCAGATGCCATATCTGGCTACGGCTATGCCAACATGTTCCGCTAAGTTGCTTACAGTCGTAGGTCTACAGTAACCGTCCAGCGTTTGGCTCCGCAGAAGACACATTGCCGAAGTTCTGCCCCATCATTCGTGCCATGCGAATGGCATACATCGACCATGTGTTGCGTACCTTGAGAAGTGCGCCGGTTTTTCCCCAAAGAATAGACCCGCACGAATGAAGACTGCAGCAGTGATTACCGCCCAGGCGACCATCACTGGCTTGTTCTCAACGAACCGCGCATAACGAGCTCTTTAATCCCGACTGTATGCGACCACTAGGCGACAAGCCCTGATGATATACGGCGTGGCAGCAAACGCTAGCGCTGTGCAGGACGCCGCGAATGAACGAGCACGATGACGAAGCGAGACATGTTGATGTTGGCTTTAGAACATGAAAGAAGTTGGGTTTTCTGCTGCACAGTTGTCGCCCCACAAGGGCAGTGGTGAGTTATTATTATTATATATTTTGTTTGCCCTCCGACAATTGCAGATAAATGCAGACATACATAAAAAGTCGATCGTAAAGGCCGTCATGCCAAGCCAAATTAACTCGATACCCAATAGCTAGGAATGTTTGCCTCTAAGTCAAACAAAACTTTGGTTGAAACACTACAGCTCAACTCTAGGCACGAACCTTAGATGGAGAAAAACGAACAAAACCCCAACCTCATCCACCCGAAAACAAACAAACCTCGGCCCCGTCTTCCCTGGTACCCCTGACACCTTATCGAAAAGAAATCCGCTTTCCACCGATGTGGTTAGGTTAAAGCTGTCGCACGCATATTCGGGCGAGCAAAAGTCTGTGCGGCATTGCTGATCGATACTGCCACCGGTCACACCAAGAGAGAAACACCCGCCGTCTTGCTCTTTCTGAGGCAAACCCCATTCAAGCCCATGTTCCCCCGGACCCCCGACACTGCCACCCCCTGTTCCTACTTCCTCGCCACCTGCAACCACAAGGTGAGTTATTGTCGGACGTATTGTCAAGAACAACCGTCATCTTTTAGACGACCCTTCCACGTTGTTCTGCTGGCATTCCAAGCATCGTGCCATAACTCCACAAAACCGCAGTCACCCAGGCTTTTTGTTGTGCTCTTCACGCAGAAAAGATAACGGCAGCGGGAATATGAAGTCCATCCACGAGATTTTCCGCCGGATTGTTTTATCTTCATTCATCTCACCTTGTTATTCTGGGCGTCAAACATACCCACAAAAGGATCGTTGTGCTGTTGGCCAGGACGAGGCGAATAATCGCAAAACCGGAATTCGCCTGCACTGGGAATCGAACTGAAACCCTTTGCTACGCAACACGCAAAAACACGTCCCATGCAAAGGGTAAAAATCCTCCTGATTTGGGACTAACGATAGTCGCCTGCAGATACAGTAGATGATGGGGATGGCCGAGAAACAACAGACGGATTTTTATGCATAGGTAGTCCAATCGCCATCTGTATCGGAATGCGGCGCGGCTTTGTTTGGTGATATATGAGAGTGCCGATACACCACTACACACAACGGGTGGTCTTCTGACCGACAGTGAAGCTGTGCGTAGTGGCTACCGGGAACCAGCGGAGACGCCTCGCAAGACCTGGATGGGTTGCACACACAACGCGTTCGTACTTACTTGTGTAGGTCACGGAGCAGGCGATATAGCATGGCAGGCTGTTTCCTACGCTCAGCAGCAGCCAGTGCAGTAGCACACACACGGCCACAACTAGGGCATGGAACATGCTCACGACCACCAGTGTGGGCGATCTGGCCTTGATTTCGAAGTTTCTTCTCATCGTCCAAAACCGCCATAGTGTCGCAAGCCATCCTAGAGACACGGTCGCCAGTGTTGTGGCAGTAACTGCTGCTACCCAGTTCACCATGAAGAACTTGCGGTGGTGGTGCTGTGAGGCATACCCAATTATCTCTACAAGCTTTGTTATTCCGCCTGTGGATACCCTAGGAGAAACTGGTGGAGATTTACCTGTAATAGTCTAATAGGTTCAGTACCAGCCTAGTAGCATTGCAGGGGGGGGCATGAAGACACCAATGGAAGAAACCAACGATTAGAGACACCATGGTAAAAATGCGGCACGACGTGGCAAAACGTCGAAAGCTACACGTCCCTACAATATTTACCATGTATCGTTTCATCGTTTCGTTGTGAGGAAATAATGCCGACCCAGCTTGTTGCGCCGACAAACTGAGATTGATTCATTGGGTCATAGACTAGTCTACTATGTATGAAAATATTCAACATATATATGTGTTGCTGGTGTGTGCCAAGACCGTGAAGAGGGTAGGGTGCCAGAGCGTGGAAACCACTATTCGCCAACGGCGCCTGCTGTTCGCGGGAGCACTGGCAAGCCAGCCAGACGGACGACTCCCGAAACGGTTGATGCTTGGTGAGCTGGTGGGGGGGGAGGGCACAGGCAGAGGGAAACCGGAGCACAACTGGCAGGTGTGCCTGAAGGACGACCTCAAGATGTTCGAAGCAGAGCACGGATCTACGGCCGTGAGCCATGCTTCTTCGGAGTCCCGGAAACAACTTGGATGGAAGCAGCGAAGGTGAACCGGAGGGTACCGTGGCATACAGGGGTACTGCAGGGAGCTAAGAGGTTCATGACCTCCTGGCACAAAGAATAAGCGGAGGCTAGCCGACAACGAGCGCTAAAAAAGCAAGAAGCCCGGCAACGGGGGCGGGAGGGGTACCACAGCAGGCGCACGGGACGGCGAGGGAAGAAAGACAGGAAACGCGAAGAGGCGGGCCGAGTGGCGCGAAATACTGTGCCGGATTGTACCGCTTGCTTGACGCATCCCCCCCCCCCCCCCCCCCCCCCCCNGCCGTGAGCCATGCTTCTTCGGAGTCCCGGAAACAACTTGGATGGAAGCAGCGAAGGTGAACCGGAGGGTACCGTGGCATACNCCCCGCCCCCGGCACTGCACCACTGAACCAGCCCCTCGCGAACGATGACGAGCATTTATTGCTGGCTTTTGTTTCCCGCTTCGTGTTGTGTTGTTTGTGCTGGCTTTTATGTTGTTCTGTTTGTTGTCCGTTGTTTGTCGCTACGGCGTGTCTTTCATGCTCAAGGAGAGATTCGAATCCTGGATATTAGCTTTTGATAAGATGCACGATGGCCACAAGATGGTCATCGTGCATCGTAACACTTTCCCTTCTCTCCATCTAGTCTATCTTCTCCCTTCGTTATCAACGACAATACGACAAGTGGCTACGCGGGTTTACGCTCAACTTCAGTGACTTTTTTTCACACCCCAGGGTTCCACACATTGCCGCTCTGGAACGGGGTTTTCTTTCTGTGATGTTATGTATAAACGTATTTCCCTCCCAAAAGTGTGGCACGTCGTGCGCCAAGCATCATCTGTCATCAACATTCACGTGTTCACGCTGCATGTGGGCAAAAGTGGCAAGCTTGAAGCTTCAACGGTAACAAAAACCTTCTGAACCAGGGGGCGACGCAGAAGCTGCTTGAACATGGCGTACTGCTGTACAGTAGGACTACCATAGGCGCCTACCTTGGGCCTTCTCGTCATGGTGCCATGGTCAGTACTGCACGCCTGATAAAAAAAAAAAGCGGCCAACACAAAAAATGGCAGTTGGCTAGCCCACCGGCGATCAGACGTCCGCACTGCCACCTTTGTCGGCGTACAGGAAAGCTGGATTAACGGAATTTCGTTGACTATAGCGCGAGACCTGCTCGGCGCAGGCTCCGAGACTCTACCGAAAACATGTGATCCATGCCCCTGCTGCGGCCGAACCTCCTGTGGTGTGCACACGCGGCAAGCTTAACACGAGAACGCACCCTATAGCTAACCGATCGACACGAAACTTTACACAATTACCAACAATGACACGAGAAGTACACATATCGAGACAGAGAGGTACTTATCGCTTGGAGAAAGAGGTATTGCGCGGATCAAGCGTGCTTATCTTTGGACGCGCTACTCGTGGTATGAGACACAGGATGGGCTTGCTGTGAGGCTTGCGGTTCTACTGCAATTTAAACTTCGGTGCAACACGCAGTACAGGTGAAGTAATTGCAAATGGCGTGCGTTCATATTTGAACTGAAAACGGTTACTTTATCTCCTACAGTGTCCTGTAGTGTTGCGCCGCTCGCTATACACACACAAATCGAAAGACAAACAAAGTCACGTAAGAAAAATACGGCGCACACGCACGNCTTCGGTGCAACACGCAGTACAGGTGAAGTAATTGCAAATGGCGTGCGTTCATATTTGAACTGAAAACGGTTACTTTATCTCCTACAGTGTCCTGTAGTGTTGCGCCGCTCGCTATACACACACAAATCGAAAGACAAACAAAGTCACGTAAGAAAAATACGGCGCACACGCACGCAGCAGCAGCTGGGGCCGTCAGGATGCCCCGTTGGGGCCCGCACGGGCATGTATCCCTTTTGTACTCCGGTGAAATCCGACTGGTTAATGGAGTTGTGTCGTCGTGCGTCTTTCGAAAACAAGTAAAGAATGAAACAGACCGAAACACAACATGCTCGAAGTACCGCTACGTGAGTTCGCGTGTTTCCATTTAGACTCCCCCCCCCCCCCCCCCCCCCCCCCCCCCCCCNAGAGATTTGCCAACAACCTTAATGAACGTGAGATAATTCGTCAGGTGGACCTACTAACGCAGTGAATATACACTAAAAAAAAATGAGGGTGAAGCTCCAAAAACAACGTCGTTTGCCGTGTGTGTATCTTTGTGCACACCATGATGATACCGTAGGCCAATGCAAGAACTTTGAACTTGACGAGTTAAGGAATCCGACACTATATATCTACAGAACATGTAACCTCGAGAAAATATAAGCACTTGAATCGCTATATTCCAGGACGCGGGGAACAATAAACGCAGGGAGACATAATCAATACTCCCGAAACCCCGCCGTGCCACAGCCTAAACCCTGCGCCAACGCCATTGTTGCCGCAGCCGATATCCGCTTCACCCGGAAACATGCTCGAAACCCAAGCTGGGGGTCGAAGCCAGTAAGTCCTGACCAACGCCGAACGGGGGAGCCGCCATTGGACGAAATCATCTCGCGGAAGTTTGTTACCTGAAACACGATACGCAGACCGCATTATGTGGGCTCGGCATGGCACCGGCGCGATACACCAACATGATCACTAGGCGATGAACAAAACATAGGCGACATCAACACTCGCACATGTCTACACAAGAAGAAAAATGAGCAGCGATAGGATGGCCAAATACACCTGATGAAACTCGGTCAAAACCATGCTTCGCCCTCAGAGTTTGCATCGTCCTGAGCATTGACCCCACCGACACCGCCCCACCCAGGGTCGGACTCATCAGAGTCTAAGTCGCTGTCAGCCGACTCTTCCGCTTCCAGCTCCAGAAAATCGTCCGAGTCACTGTCCGAACGGCCAGTGTCGTCATCGTCCGAACCGGGATCGTCCGGGTCTTCCTCTTCCTCGTCCGTTCTAGCGTTCCGGGACGCCAGAAGAGCCGTCATGGCGCTGGCAACGACTGCGGAGTGTGCAGCACCGGCAGGACCGGAGTACGTGGCCTGGCCGGTCGGTGCACCGGGTACAGGCTTGCGAGCCAAATGGCAACGGCCCCTGCAGCCGCAAGCGAGGGAGTACTTGCGCCCTTTGCACCCGCACGCCCTACAGTTATGCTTTAAGGCCTTCACCGGGTCGCAACCGCACGTCATCGTGACCATCTTCCCATCGGGACCGATGTAAGAACGCTCCGACATCCACATAACGCAATTCTCTCCTGTGAGTACTGACGCGTTGCTGCCCTTCGCCTTGGGGTTGATACCCCAACCCTTCCCGTTGAAGTCTCGTTCTGGCATGTGGTCTTTGAATCCATCTTGCCCCGTCGACAGACTTGATCCTCAGGCATTGCTCGCGCATCGACCTAGAAGTTGGGCAGGTGTCTGTCGTCCTCTTCTTGCCAAGCTTGACGATGGCCACTCGGATGAGGTCCACGTAGTTCTTGACGCTGTCATTCACGCTGCGGAGCAGATCGCCTGGAGTGGTCGCAACACCGGCAAATGCTGCCTCGTACCTGAAGTAGAAAATGGTCGCGAGAAGCTTGATGCTTTGCTCTATGTCCACCGTCCACACCTCATCCTCCATCACGAATAGGGAACGGTTGAACACGCCCTCAGCCCGCACGCTTTTCAGAGCAAGTATCCACATTTTGTAAAACGGCAGGCCGGAAATGGCAGGGAGAGCATGCCGTTCCAGCATCGGAATGGGTTGCCACAACTTGGAAAAAACAAAACAAAATAGAAACGTCGTGTACTCTTTTACGCGAGGGACGGGTAAACGTTGTGCTGTATATGTTGGAGATTATCGCGTCTTGTGGCAAGTTTGAACATACTCTTCACTTGTGAAGTCGTAGCCCACAAGCCGTGCCCTGCTACAAAGTCGATAACCTACCGGCAGGTCCCCTTTGACTTCGTNTCGACCATGGCCGCTGTCAAGTGTCACCCAGGAAAAATCGCCTTCACCGTGCCCTTGCAAAGCATGTACAAACGCCGTGCGAAGCCTCGCCTATCCTGGTTGGTTTTTCGATGAAAGTGGCAGCTGCCTCGGAAGTCGGCCCAGCAGAATCCACCTCTTTTGCCCGGGTGGCATCGCGAGTGGGGGCTTGCCGCTCACAGGCGGCTCCTTCAAGCGCGTCGGCTCCATCGCTCCCATCATCCTATCTCCTTACACTCCCCGCTGCGCTTGGCTGTGGACCGACTGTTTTTATTTCATCCCACGCCCAGCCCCGGCCGGGATCCTCACTCCCTATATCGGTAATCTCAGGGTACAGGGGCATGTTCGTCATACGTTGGAAGAGTGATCTGGATGCTGATCGACATCGGCCCGAACAATTTCCGCCGCCGCACGCACGATCTCCATCCTCGCGTCTGCCTCTTGCGCTTCTTCGAGAAGACGCCTCACTTTCTGCAGGGACGTATTTCCACCGGACGTGGCGTTTGCGGGCGTGCTCGGACCATCGAACGTGTTCGCCAGGCGCGCCCGCAGGGCGAGGGATGCAATAACCTCGTCCCGAGCGTTGACCGGGAAGAGACACAGTAGTCGTTGGCGCCCGTCTCCAAAGCCCCCCTCGCTGCTGACCACCCGCGCTTGGCTCCCATCAGCGCTCGCGATGCTCTCGAACATCTGGCGCACGGCCTTCCGCCCGCTCCTACGCTCAAGTTCTTGGTCACCATCCTTTGCGCGCTCAGCTGAGAGCCAGTCGAACACATCCTCCCAGTAAAGGATGTCCCCGCGAGCTACGGCTTTAATCACCAACGCGCGCAACCGGCTGAACGGCTTCTCCGGCGCCGGTTCATCGGCTTTAGGTCGGCCCGAGTTGCTCGATGCCGCAACCTTTTTTTGAGTAGCTTCTCCGATGGCCCGGATTCGAGCTTGATTGCAGGCCTGGCAGTACCAAGGTTGTGTGCGTCCTGATCCACCACCCTCCGTTATGTTATCGTCCACGACGTGCACACTGTACCACCTCTTCGNCCAGTAAAGGATGTCCCCGCGAGCTACGGCTTTAATCACCAACGCGCGCAATCGGCTGAACGGCTTCTCCGGCGCCGGTTCATCGGCTTTAGGTCGGCCCGAGTTGCTCGATGCCGCAACCTTTTTTTGAGTAGCTTCTCCGATGGCCCGGATTCGAGCTTGATTGCAGGCCTGGCAGTACCAA